GCAGGAGTGGTAGGAAAATAGCACAGCAAGTTGTCTGTGCATGAGAATGATGACTGGGAGGACAGCAGGCGCCATGGGGTAGTCAACAGTCTAGACAACAAATGAGAGGTCAGGAGACTCACTTTGGGTCTGGTTTTAAAACAAGAGGGAACAATGAGAGAGGCAGAGAGATGGAGGTCCGGGCAATAGTAGGTTGGGAGTGAACTAGCAAAATTCAGATGGAAATGTAACAGTATGCTCATTTGTACACAGATACCACTAAAAGCTGGGGACAAAGAAAAAATAATAAAAGCTGGGGACATTCAGTCTGTATTTTATATTCTTATTTTTTCACAAGACTAGGGCCTGACATTATAGTAAGTTATCATTTACTGTCATTGTTCTGTGACTTTAAGCAAAATGACATATAGCAAAAACAATTTTACAACATTGAATGAAACATTATTAGAGGAATACGTCCATGTGTGACTCTGCCATGCCTCAGAGAGCTACCTACCAGAAAACATCCCTATGTGAGACGTAGTCACTTGATACTGAAACACTTCAACTGGTTATAGGAAGTGAGCCCAAGGCTGCCTTGGTCCAGGAAGACTGCTTTAAGCATAAGTTTATTTCCTATTAAGAATACCTTTTATTTTATTATTATTTTTTTAATCCTCACCTGAGGATATGAGTTGTTTTTTTCCATTGATTTTAGAGAGAGAGGAAGGGAGAGAAAGAAAATCATCGATGTGAGAAACATCAATCCATTGCCTACGTGCCTGACCAGAATCAAACCCACAGCCTAGGTACGTGCCCTGGCTGGAATTGAACCTGCAATCTTTTTGGTGAACAGGGATGATGCTCCAACCAGCTGAGCAAGAATGACTTTTATTTATTTATTTTTTTAATATATTGTATTGATTTTTTACAGAGAGGAAGGGAGAGAGATAGAAAGTTAGAAACATTGATGAGAGAGAAACATCGATCAACTGCCTCCTGCACATCTCCTACTGGGGATATGCCCGCAACCCAGGTACATGCCCTTGACCGGAATCGAACCTGGGACCTTTCAGTCCACAGGCCGATGCTCAATCCACTGAGCCAAACCAGTTTCAGTGACTTTTATTTTTTAACTAGAGGTCTGGTGCACAAAAATTTGTGCGCTCAGGGGGGTCCCTCAGCCCAGCCTATGCCCTTTCCTAGTCTGGGACCCCTCGGGGGATGACCACCTGCTGGCTTAGGCCCGCTCCTGGGGGGGGAGGGGCTAAGCTGGCAGTCAGAAGTCCCTCTGGCAGCCCGGGAGCCCTCGGGGGATGTCCACTTGCCAGCGGGGAGCAGGACTAAGCTGCAGTCGGACATCCTTAGCGCTGCGGAGGAGGCAGGAGAGGCTCCCACCACCACCACTGTACTGGCAGCCAGCAGCCTGGCTTGTGACTGAGCAGAACTCCCCCTATGGGAGCACACTGACCACCTAGGGACAGCTCCTGCGTTGAACATCTGCCCCCTGGTGGTCAGTGTGTGTAATAGTGACCAGTCATTCCCAGTCATTTTGCTATTAGGGTCAATTTGCATATTACCCTTTTATTATATAGGATAGCGACCTGGTGCATGGGTAGGGGCCGGCTGGTTTGCCCTGAAGGGTGTCCCAGATCAGGGTGGGGGTCCCACTAGGATGCCTGAACAGCCTGGGTGAGGGGCTGAGGGCTATTTCAGTCTGGCCACAGCCCTTTCAGTGTGGGTGTCCCCACTGGGGTGCTTGGCCATCCTGGGTGAAGGGCTGAGGGCTGTTTTCAGGCTTCCCACACCCCCTTCAGGATGGGGGTGCTGCTGGGGTGCCTGGCCAGTCTAGGTGAGAGGTTGATGGCTGTTTGCAGGCTTGCCATAGCCCCCAGCCACCCAAGCTCCCAGTGGAAGCTGGCTGGAAGCAGGTATCTTGGATTTATTTATCTTCTATAATTGAAACTTTGTTGCCTTGAGTGGAGGCCACAGCCAGCCAGGGCAGGCGGGAAGCTTGGCTCCCTCCATCGCCGGGGCAACCAAGCCTTCTGCTTGCTCCAGCTCTGTGGCCGCCGGCTGCCATCTTGATTGGGTTAATTTGCATATAGTCACTCTGATTGGCTGGTAGGCATGGCTTGGGCATAGCGGAGGTGTGGTCAATTTGCATGTTTCTCTTTTATTAGATTAGATTTAGAAAAGGAAACACTACATGATGGTCAGACTTGGAACTGAGACAGCTCAGTTAGAGAAAGAGCATCTAAGCAGCCTTAGCTGGTTTGGCTCAGTGGATAGAGTGTTGGCCTATAGACTGAGGGGTCCCAGATTCAATTCCGGTCAAGGGCACATGCCCAGGTTGCGGGCTCAATCCCCAGTAGGGGTGTGCAGGAGGCGGCCGATCAATGATTCTATCTCATCATTGATGTTTCTATCTCTCTCTCCCTCTCTCTCCCCCCCTTTCTCTCTGAAATCAATAAAAATATATACATTAAAAAAATATATATTTTTTTTAAAGAAAGTGCTCTGGCCTGTTTGGCTCAGTGGATAGAGCATCAGTCTGCAGACTGAAGGGTCCCAGGTTCGATTCTGGTCAAGGGCATGTACCTTGGTTGTGGGCACATCCTCAGTAAAAGGTGTGGAGGAGGCAGCTGATCAATGTTTCTCTCTCATCGATGTTTCTAGCTCTCTATCCCTCTCCCTTCCTCTCTGTAAAAAATCAATAAAATATATATAAACAAAAGAGCATCTAAGCAATGAGGTGACCTTAGCTTCATCAGCAGAAGGTCAGAGCTGCTGCAAGCCTGGAGGGTGCCAAACACTCCTAAACCTGCTTGTCACCCACCCTCCCCTACTTCTCTGATCCTGAAGTACCCCATGCAGTGAAACCATATTTGTAGCACACTTGCTTATTTTAAGACGTATGCAGTACAATTTATATGTTATTGAGTTTGTGTATTAATTTAAGTTCCAGAGGATAATCAGAATTTCCCATGGATTCAAAATTCACATATCTTATTAGTGTGCATGTTAAAATAAGTATTGGAGACTATTTGAGTTCAGAGTTTGCATAAAAATTAGATGCATATATAATTAATATTTACAAAGGTATTTTGAGTGAATACTAGTTTTTTTAAAAACTGGGATTTAAATGGTGGAGCTATTAAAACAGATATTAGCCCTCTTCAATTTGGACAAAGCGGAGCACGAGAAGGAGAAGCAGTTATATAAGATGCCCTGGAGGCTTCTCCCTAAGATGGACTTTTTCTTTGGAGTGTGCTTATTTTGATTCTCAGTGTCATCGTGACTTCTGATGCAGGCAAAATTCCCCTTTAAAAATCCAACTCATCACTTAAAATATAAAAAGCCAATAACTTCTTCCCAAAAATATAAATGTGCATTTTTTTAAGAGAAATTGCACTAAAAAGTAGGAACAGGAAAGTTCATATTCGCATGGAAATACAGTCCCAATACACCAAAGTTGCAGGTTTGACCTCCGGTCAGGGTACATGCAAGAAGCAACCAATGAATGCATAAATAAGTGGAACTAAAAATTGGTGTCTCTCTCTCCCTCCCTCTCACCCCCCCCCCCACCCTCTTTGTCTCTAAAATAAATAAAAATAAAAAAGTGCAATTTCAAAATTCACTTATGTCATTAAGGAGCATAGAGAAGTAGCAAAGGGTTTAACGATTCCCAAGTCTTCTCAGCTAAAAAAAATACACTTGACAGTGAAGGGCAGATGTAACTTTGGAGTGCCTTTTCCTCGACAGATGGCCACTGGCTGCCATCTTATCTAACATGTCACATGTGTGTGTTAAACATAATAGTTCATCACTTCTCATCAAAGGACAAAGTACAACATATGAAGCTCAGAGTGCCACATTTCCTGGTGGCCTCCAACTCCGTTTTGCTTTTCAGTTTGAGGATCAAGAGTGACTGACTGGAAGGGTGGTGGCTCATAACCCATAAAATGATTCTCTGCTCTTTTCCTTCCTGGCTGTAGTAGTCATGCCTATCACTCCAAAGCATTCTCCTATGATTCATTCAGTTTACCCCATCCAGTTCATCAGGAAGTGATGAGTCAAAACCCACTCATTTCAAATATAAAATCTTAACCATACAATAACCGTAGCATACAAATACTGTGAATTAAACACAGATTTCACATGAAATTCAATGAAAGTTGAGGAAATTTAGTACTAACCAAACAAAATATTCAATTCACAAAATATTTTTTTAAAAAGGCCAGCCATTATTTAGTTTTGACTGATCCCTTTTAAGAATTGTGGCATATCTTGTGTGTGTGTGTGTGTGTGTGTGTGTGTGTGTGTGTGTGGTTTTTTTTAGTGTGATCTTTAGCTTTTTGATAATCCACTATCAAAAATAATTATACAGGACATAACTTTAATATATTAATTTCTGTATCAAAGGTATCTATACTAAACTCTCTATATATTCATCTAAACTTAAAGTTTTTGTGTTTTTAAATAATTGTTATTGATTTTTTTAGAGACAAATGAAGGGAGGAGAGAGAGAGAAACATCAATGCAAGAGTGGAACATCATTGGCTGCTGCCTCCTGCACGCCCCTACTAGGGATTGAGCCTGCAACCTGGGCATGTGCCCTAACCTGGAATCAAACTAGCAACCTTTCGGTGCATGGGATGATGTCCAACCAACTGAGCCACATTGGCCAGGGATAAAGTTTTAAGAGTTCCTAAAAATATAAAGCTATAATAATTTACTTAGATAATTTTCTTGCTAAACATTAAAATGTTTGATATTAAATATTTGGTAACTTTATTCATTTATCAGTATTATCAAAATGAAAGTTAGAAACAAGAATAATTGCCTAGCTATCAAAGTAGGTTTAAAAATAATTGTATTTAGATATCTTCATTTGTAATCTTCTATCTGTAACTTTAGCTTTACAGAGTTATCATTAAACATGTCAACAAATAACAGGGTGGCAGAAAAGTGAACAACAGGTCAAACTCAAAAAAAAATACCTTTAAGAGAATACTTACTTTTTTGCCTCCCTCTAAGAGGGTATGTCCTGAGTTTTTCAATGATGTCAACCACGATCAAGGAAGTCAGAACCAGAGAGACTGGTAGGTCAGGCAAGGTGTCCGGCAAGCTATTAGCAGAACCGTTAACATTCTTTTGAACCTGTTGTCATAAAACCATTTAGAAGCATTAACTTTATATGCTTTCTTTTTTTAAAAAAAGTTTTAATTATCTGAAAGCAGTGCTATACATTTATTAAAATACTAAAAGCTTGGTTTTCAGCTTCTCAGATATTTATCCCCATGAGGTTTTGAACCATTTCTAAAGATGTAATAAGTATTTATATCAATGGATGAGCCTTCAGTTCAAGGCAATACATGTGAAAATATAACAGCAGGCTTCTGACAGTGGTAAAATGGACAATTCCTCCAAGCCTGCTGGTAAGCACAGCCTCTGAAAGGTCTGATATCAAAGACTTAGGAGGACAAGAATTGGAGTTTAGGATCTTCCAAGAAGGGAGAGCCTAGGTAAACCCAGAGAGGCTTTGGGGCACTTTCTTCATCTGATTGAGGCATCTACTTAAAAAACACAGTGGCAAGCATCATATTAATGGTTATATGTTAAGAGTTTTCCCTCTGAGATCAGGAGTGAAACAAAGGTGCCACCACAACCATTTCTGTTCAACAGTGCACTTGAGGTTCCAGCCAGTGTAATAAGGCAGGATAAAGAAATAAACAGTATAAACTTTGGCAAGAAAGAAAAACAAAATAGTCATAGACTATATTAGTACATATGAAGAAAAATCTTCCCCAAATGGATTAATTATTTCTATATACCAATAGCAAAGAGAAAATAAGATTTTAAAAAAGATAGCATTTAAAGCAACTTCAATCAAAATTCCAAGTTTTTATGGAAAGTGACAAGCTGATTCTAAAATGTATATAGAAATACAAAGGGCAAGACACTAGAAGAAAAAGAAAAAGATATGAAGATTTACTTTTCTGTTTGTAAAGAGCTATTATAAAGCTACAGGAATTAAGTCAATGTAGTATTGGCATAGGAATAGAAAAGTAGGTAATGAGACAGAACAGAAAATTCAGAAATAGACCTGATTTATAACAAAAGTAGCAAAGTAGCACTATAGAGAGATGTTGGAAAACAGACGTTTTAATAAATGGTGCATAGTCCATTGGATGTTATTTGGGGGAAAAAATAAATAGAAATTGCCTCCATACTGTAAAGATACACAGAAATTAGCTCTAGATAGATTTTTAATCTAAAAGAGAATGGCAAAACAATACAGGACCCAAAATATAATATAGGAGGTCTTCAGTTCCTCAAGATTCAGAGTCACAATATGACAAAATCTTCTCAAACCAAAGCACTGTCCATAAAGGAAAGAAATTGATAAATGGGGCTATTTTTTAAATAAAGAAACTCTCTTTATCAAAAAGATCCCATTAAGAGTATTAAGTCATAGAACATGAAGATATTTGCAATACATGTAATCAACAAAGGGCTTGAACTCTGAATATATAACAAAACAGATGAATTTATCTGAAGTATTAGAAGTTACGGGAGAGCTACCTTTAAGGAGGACGTAGTCATTGCAAGGAACATAGGGTTGTCTTCAGGCAGATGTCAAAGCTTTATGTTTTTACTTTTTTACACAGAGATTTGCTTTGTGGTATCGAATTAATATTGTATATTGATGTTTTGTGCACTTTTCTGTTTGTGTGTTAAACTGGAGTGGAAAATTACCTGGGTACTCACGGCACCTATACTTAGTCTAATTGTCTATTTCTCTCTCTATTATCAGTAAACTCCTGAAGATCAGAGTCGTCAAATTTCCTGAGGGGTCTATTTCCAGTAACTAATACAGCGCCTGGCATGTACATGCATTTAATGATATCTGGTCAACATATAAATGAAATATCACAAAATAATTTGAGCTGTGTACCTTGGGGAAGTGAAAACTCTTATTAATAAGATTAGGAGGGCGTTCTTTTTTTAACTTCTTGGATAATAAATTCTACATCCAGAAAGTTCTGCCTATAATATTCTTGTTCTGCAGTCCTCCATCCATTAAAGCAGCATGTAGTCAAAAATATAAAGTTATTTTCAATTATGTATCATACACAAATTATTTGTCAATGGGTATATTATCAAAGGTCTTAGAGCAGTGGTTCTCAACCTGTGGGTTGCGACCCCTTTGGGGGTCGAACGACCCTTTCACAGGGGTCGCCTAAGACCATCGGAAAACACATATATAATTACATATTGTTTTTGTGATTAATCACTATGCTTTAATTATGTTCGATTTGTAACAATGAAATTGGGGGTCACCACAACATGAGGAACTGTATTAAAGGGTCACGGCATTAGGAAGGTTGAGAACCACTGTCTTAGAGTGTGGGTGGTTGTTCACGGGAATAATGTTTTTTTCCTTTATAATTGAATATGATCATGAGAAACATCAGGTTACAGCGGTTCTCAACCTGTGGGTCGCGACCATCGGAAAACACATATAGCATATCAGATATTTACATTACGATTCATAACAGTAGCAAAATTACAGTTATGAAGTAGCAACGAAAATAATTTTATGGTTATAAAATTATAGTTCCTCCACAATGTGAGGAACTGTATTAAAGGGTCGCAGCATTAGGAAGGTTGAGAACCACTGTTTCTCAGAAGAAACAAATGTGGGTCTATTTTCAAATTCCAAATCCTTGCTTTTAAAAATTATTTTGAAATAACATTCCTGCTTCTCACACACAAACACAGAAGTAATCTCTTTTAAATTGGCTTCTAGACTTTCCTCCTTAACCACGCAGGTAACAATGACAAATATATATATTGCATTTGGGAAGAAGAATGGATAAAATAAACTTTAAGAAACTTGTTGGGCACACCACTCTATCAAATCCCAATAACAGGAAATTTTAAAATCTTGCGTCAGAAGAAATAAAAATTCCATACCTCCGTCACTGCTATAGAAAAGCTGAAACTGGGGAGTGTGGTGAGCACTACACACATCATCATAACAGGTCTCCTAGCAAAGGAGAAAAAAAATAAGCAAAAGCAATAATGTACAAGATCAACAGTTCCTGTTACTTTTTGCTAATTTTGCAGTTCCTGTTCCATTCATCTATAGTTTTTCTAAGAAGCTACTGCTTCCCTATTTCCATTTCCCAAACGCTTGAAGATGGCAAAGGAGAACACATGCAACAACCAGAATGCTTTTCTAGAAGAAAGGGTGAGAGATTTCCAAATAATTAACAAATCATAGACAGCTAAAATCATCACAAGGCAAGACACATGACATGCACGGTTTTCATAATTCATTAGTTAGGATCCTACCCCAAAATTCAGGCTCTGGTGACCAACTGGAAAAAAGAACAGCATGGCTTTTCAAGTTATATTATGACCCATGTCATAAAATTTAGTTTTCAAAAAATTAATTTAAGATGATACTTAGATACTTAGGGCAGCAGAAATTGAAAAAAATGGATATTATTTACTTGAACCCAAAGAAATAATATATACATAAAAATCACATAATTTTTTAAACTTGTTTTTGAACCACTTATGAAACCTTTCAAGATCAATCAAATAGTTATGAGATGTAATGTGTATTTAATATTCTACCTTATAATAGAGACAATTTAAATATACATGTTAGCATCATTAATTTTGGGGAAAGCAAAATATACTCAAAGGTTTCCTATCATGAAATATTTACCTTCTTTTTTCTTAGTTAAATATATTAATTACATGTTTAGCATATTGTGTATCTAATAACAAAAAGTGTTGGAATGGGTGAACCATGAGAGCATTATACTGAGTGAAATAAATCAGTCACAAAAAGACAAACATATGGAATACCTGGAATAATCAATTTCATAGAGACCGAAATGGTGGGTGCAAGAGATGCAGAAGAGGAGAATGGCGAGTTGTTGTTTAACGGACATAGAGTTTTAGTTTTCCAAGATGAAAAGAGTTCTGGAGATCAGTTGCACAACAATGGGAATGTACTTAATGCTACTGAACTGTGTGTTTAAAAGTGGTTAGGATAATAAATGTTATGTACATTTTATCATAATTAAAACTAATCAAATAAGTAAGTGGATTAAAAAAATAGTGTTAGAGTCTTTCAAATGACTAAGAATTTCTCACTACTGACAGGCATCCCTCTAATCCATCCCCCTCTCAGATGTTCTGGTTTAGACATAAATTATGGGGCGGGATATCCCCTCTCTCACAACTAGACCCAGTACAACCTGTAAAGTCCGGAGTATGATCATATTTTACACACATAGCTTTGCCTCCTGTGTGAGTCCAGACCCAGGTTCCTGCAGTACTCAGCTAAGACTGAGCAGCACATTCATAGAGGCCTCTTCCCAGCTTGACCCCAGGAACTATTCCTGTGCCTCTTCTTTAGCTGCATTATCTCCCTTGATTATCTCAGCCAACCCCATTGCTTTAAATACCACACAATTGCCAATGACTCCCAAACGTATTATCATATACAGATGCTGGCTTCTATCCTTAGTTCTGGATGTGTATGCCCAACTATGTGACACCTCCATCTATTAGTAGACATTTAAAAGGCAACTGACAGTTAACATTCCTAAAGAAGAACCCACATCCTTCTCCATATCTGTTGTTACCATCCTCAAATCTTGTCTGATTTACTAACAAAATGCATTTTGAATCCATCCTCTGCTAACACAGTGGTTCATATACTGTCATCTCTCCTCTGCAGTATTTTCTAACCAGTTTCCTGTTGGTAACTCTATTCTTACCTAACAGTATTTTCTCCATAGAGCCAACAGTCATATTTTTAGATATAAAATACATGTTATCACTGCCCTGCTCAAAAATCTCCAATGCTGGTGTATGGGAGTAATGGGAAGTTACTGTTTATTGAGTACAGTGTTTCAGTTTGACAAAATGAAAAGAATCCTGTGAATGGATGGTAGGGATAGCAGCCTACTGGTCAATTAAAATAAAATTGAAGCCTATAACCCTAGCCTACATACTCTATATGATGTGGTTCCTCTCGTTTCTCCTTCTTTCATCCGTACTTAGAATGACCTATATCCCTAACACCTACTTAACTCTGTCCATTCTGGCCTCCTGGTTATTTCACACAAAGGCTGCCCCACCTCCAAGTCATATGCTCTCTATTCCTTTTGCCAGGGGCTCTCTATACATGGATCTTCTATGTCTGGCTTCTTGTTGTCATTTAAATATATAAACTACCTGAAATTCTGCTGATTAGTTATTTACTTGCTTATTGTTTGTCATATTGCTCCTTGTCCATATCCAAGATAAGTTCCTAGGGAGCAGGGGCCTTATCTAATTGTTCACTATTTACTCTTCACCACCACTGTTTTTCAGCCATTTTTGTGCAATTAAACTTCTAGGACTCTGGAATATCCTATAGAGCAGCGGTTCTCAACCTGTGGGTCGCGAGCAATGAAAATACATCCTGCATATCAGATATTTATATTACGATTCATAAGAGTAGCAAAATTACAGTTATGAAGTAGCAACAAAAATAATTTTACAGTTGGGGGTCACCACAACATGAGGAACTCTATTAAAGGGTCGCGGCATTAGGAAAGTTGAGAACCACTGCTATAGAGGCTTCTAAGAATATAACTTTTAAATGAAAAAAATAAAATACATATTTAAAAAATAAAGTAACTATGTTGACAAAGTAATCCAAAACCTTAAAAAATTGATATTTTAATAAATGTTACTGTCTATAAACACAGTGTCTTCTTATTTTCTTTGGAGTGAAAACTGTAATCACTAGTGGTAACTGTAATCACTCATAATTTCAGGGTAGTGAAGATCATAAACCATATCTTGAATTACCTGCACAATTGTAGGGGACCCAAGATGGCAGCAGAGTAAGTAGAAGTTACACTCAACTCCAACCAGGACCAAACTGCAACTACAACTAAAATACAGAACAATCAACCTGAATAACCAACTGAAGACTAGCTGAACAGAAGTCTTATAACCAAGGATTTACAGAAGCCACAACAAGACTGGTAGGAAGGGCAGAGACACAGAAAGGGTTAGCTCTGCCCCATGGGTGATGGCTAAGAATCTGGAGGAATATCTCAGCTGCAAAGGCTCCCCACTGGGGAGCACGGGGTCTCACTCTGATGCTGGGATCCACAGCCCAGCGCACCAGAGCCAGGAAGAGGTGCCCACATAACATCTGGCTGTGAAAATGAGTGGGAATTCTGTCTGCCAGGGAGAAACTGAAATATGATAGAGACCAGGTGCCATCATTAAGGGCCCAAAGACAGAAACCTTGTTTGCAGTCACTCATCCTGAGCTCCAGTGGAGGGAGGGCAGAGTGGGCTAGAGTCATGTGAGAGAGACGGCTTTGTGGCTCTGGGGACAGAGCTGAAGGCTCAGACACCAGGATTCCTGTGCCGAGTCCCTCCCCCATATCACAGATGATATCTCTCTTGAATGGAACACTTCCCTCCATATGGCATCAGCCTGGGGGAATGCAATAGCACCACCCTCTGGGCTTCCTGTCACACCACCCTGCCCTGATGAAGAGTCGGCTTCTCAGTTCTGGGAAGACAGGGGTGTCAGTGACTGACTTGTGTGGCTTTGGTGCAGAAAACTCACTTTCTGGTTAACCTGACCAATGCTTCCCCCACATGAAAGATCCACTAGTCCCACACTCCCAACTCCAAGCAGCCTACCTTACTAAGCTTGGTCTACTAGCAGAATCTGGGACAGACTGAGTTGTATGGCTCTAGATGGGCTCTTTTTTCCCTCTCCTGCCTAACTGGAGTAGAGCCTTACATTCAAAAAGGCCAAAACCTTGGTTTGTTTGGGCCTGGTAAACTCCATCGGCCTCACCCTGATGAGTCTTTGAGACCCTGCCCCATAACAAAGGTGAGGGGCAGTTAGACTTGGCACATCCTGGGACTTTTTCTCAGACCCCACACTGGCACTGAATTTGAACCTGTATCAATCTGGTGAATACCACTAGTGCCTACTTGATGACTCACTGAGAATTTACCTCATGCAACTTGAATACTGCCAGAGGATGTTTTAGTGACTAAGTCTAACAGGCCATCGGCAAATGGAGGCAGGCTGAGGTGGATCAGGGAGCCTTGGCCTTTTGCTGATGAGCCTCTGGGCTCAGTGCTAATGGAAGCCAGCCTTAGTGAGCAGTGTGGTCCTTCCCACACACACCAAGGCCCAGCAGAGGCAGCCACAAATGGTAGATTGCATTGTAGCTTTAAACAGATTGCCCTGGGCCAGTCAAAAGCAGTGTCTGACATCGACCTGCAGCGGAGTCTCTCCCAGGAGGCCCCAGAGCAGACACATCTACTAGCCAGCTTCTGACAATATCAGAGCAGGATCCAATGAGTTTCACAAATGGCATATCCTAAGTGTGATCTCAGGAGGCACCAGAACCTGCTGAGGCAAATTCCTCTTCATGTGATCAGCACCTGTGCAGCAACTCATACACTGAGGTCAGGGCCGATCTTCACAGTCAGCATGCCTGAGGGTCAACCCCATACACAAATGGGGCAATAGCAATCAAGACTCAATTACAACAGGAGGGCTCACATAACCCACACTAGAGATACTCCTGGAGCATCAAGGTGATCAAGGAGACTGTGTTACTGGGTCCCATAGGATACCTACTACATAAGGCCACCCTACTGAGACCGGGAGACATAGCAGATCTACCTAATACATAGAAACAAAGAGGTAGCTAAAATGCAGAGACAAAGAAACATACCCCAAACAAAAGAACAGAAGAAATCTTCAGAAAAAGAGCTGAATGAAATGGAGGCAAGCAATTGATCAGATATAGAGTTCAAAATAATGAAATTGATGCAGTAACTTAAAAATAAACCCAAAAAAATCAAACCTTCCAACAAATAAAAGTTGTGGACCGAATGAATGCACAGGCAAATTTTACCAAACATTCAAAGAAACACTAACACCTATCCTCCTCAAACTTTTCCAAAATATTCTAGAGGAGGAAAGACTTGC